ACGTCTCACGAAAAACCGCTACCTTTCCCATATTCCAGAAAACGTGATTCCAGGCGATTTTAGCCAAAAAAAAAACGAAAAAAAAAAGAAAAAAAACGAAAAAAACGAAAAATTACCGAGTACGAAGATTTTATGGAGTGCGAAGATCTTGCAGAGTGCGTGGATTTTATAGTATGTGCGCGTCCCTAGCTGTGGAGTGCGATGTCCCATGTGGAGTGCGAAGAATTTGTGGAATGCGAAGAATTCCGAGTATGCGTGGCTGGTATAGAGACCACATAGGGAAATTTCGCGGCCAGAACCAAAATTCCAATCCCAAAGCCGGCCCAAACTTCCAGGGGCACACCAGTGGGTTCTATTTTTCCAAGTTCACCTTGGGTGAGGTCCCGGGGAAGAAACTTGCTAATTTTTACTTAGCCAACCTTTAAAAACGTTACCTTTGACAACCCTGTCCTTCTTCTGTAGACAAATGAGGAAACTTCCTTATCAAAGCAGCCTTCAATTCATTCAACGTCCACAGCTCCTTTGGAACGACATAGGGGATAGAAAGCTGTGGAGGGGCATTCAATGGATTCGCCGTGGGCCAACTGTTCCCTCCAGATTGAGCTGAAATGCCTATCAAAGTAACATACCAAAACCCAGGTCTGGAGTACGATGAAAACATGGTATGCGAAGATTTTCTGAATATGGGAATGTTGCCTTTAGATACATACATACATACATACATACATACATACATACATACATACATACATACATACATACATTACATACATACATACATTACATTACATTACATACATACATTACATACATACATACATACATACATACATACATACATACATACATACATTACATACATACATACATTACATTACATTACATTACATTACATACATTACATACATTACATTACATTACAATACAATACAATACAATACAATACAATACAATACATACATACATACAATATATATATATATACATATATATATAATGTATATATGTATGGTCACCCCCTCCCAGAACCCCCATTTCATCATTTCAATGCATCTGCTGCATAAATATTGCATTTCACCATGTCTTTCTGGAAATGCTACCTGCTAATGTTCTTCACGAAATCAATATTCTGAGGCTCTTTGGGGAGGGCCCCTTGGAGAAAAAAAAACTTTTGAAAAAAACACAAAAACACAAAAAAAAAGTATTCTAAGGCTCTTTGGGGAGGACCCCTTGAAGAAATCTAAACAACTTTTGGAAGAAACAAAAAATATATATATATATATATTCTAAAATTCTTGGCTTACCTCCCCCATACCCAGGACCTCTCGAAAATTGCGTTATTTTTTTTCGAGGTTTTGTGGCACAGGACCTTTGGATTTTTTGTTTTCTCGAGGTTTTTTTGGCACAGTTATGATTTCACTTGCCCTTGCAATGTGTGCACTGCTGTTCGTTTGCAGTGTTGCCATTTTTGCTCTGACTGATCGGCGCGTTAGCCCCTGAGTTGGTTGCAAACGACATACATGTCTGCTTCATCATACATTTCTGCAAAAAAATAGGGAAAACAAAAAAAACATCTTTTGACTCAAAACCAAACATGCTCTCAAAAGTTGTGTTTTTTTTTGTTTTTTTTGTTTTGTTCGAGTTCTTTGGTTTTTTTGTGGTTTGTCTATTGTTTCATATGATTGCCATTTGTGCCCCTATGCTTGCGTACCTTATCGGTCCTGGGAAGTCAAACTTTGATCAAAGCTTCTCACTCAAGAGCTTGCGCACTATGTGAGACTAAGCTTGGCATAGGATGTGCTGTGATGTTTATGCACTTGAAAATTAGCTGTTGCAGCGCTTTCCTGCTCTATTGTCTATCTCTAGCAACTTCTGTGCAAATCTTGGAATCTTGGAACCTTGGATTCGTACATACACGTTCCTGTCTAGGTTTGACATATTCAAACAAAGTATATAAATACAAGTACCTGGAAAACACTTTTGGACACCTTGGGGGGAATGGTGGGGTATTTCTTTGAGAACATGTAACATTGCTTTGTGACAGAATGCTTTAATAGATGCTGCGGGACTTTGAAAGAATCTTACCTGTAAACAAAGTCCTTCATTGAATGCAGTATTTGATTTGATGAGTACCGGACACATTGCGTAAAATAGTTGAGGCCAGTGGGGCATGTTGTAAAAGAATGTACTGTTTCTGTGTCGTAGAATGCGTCAATAGATGCAGTAGTAGTGCTTTGAAAGAGTCTTACCTCTGAAGAAAGTCCTTAAATGGATGCAGTGCTCTTTTGAAAGAGTATCGGACATATTGCATTAAATGGTGGAGCATTTTTTAAAGATTGCAATATTTATTTCAAAGGGATAGATGCAGTAGTACTTTGAACCAGTTTTGCCTTGAAAGAAAGTCTTTGAATGGACGCAGCACTCTTTTGATGTGTGTTGTATTCTTCATCACATGTTGTAGCGCAGCATCACTCTTTGCATTATTCGATTACGAAACGTATGAGATAATGGAACATTGCTTTAAACTAGCATACTTTGCAAGACTCTTTCATGGGCGCAGTATTCCTTAGAAAATGCCAACAAACGTGTGATGTCCCTTTGAAAGAGCACAGAATTACTTCAATAAGAAAGCTCTCTTAGTCTATGCAGTATTCATTGAAAACAGTATACAATATTTAGAAAAGAGTTGTAGTGCAAAGGTATATGGAAGGTATATTGATAATTTTAATAAAAACATGTTTTCATGGTCAATTAAATGGTATATTGAATGGATATTGAAAAAAGTATATTCATGGTATATTAAATGATACACTCAAGGTATATGACATGGTTTATCAACAGTATTTCAATAGGAATATGAAAAGATCTTAAATATATATATATAAAGGTATGTTAAAGGTAAATTTATATATATATATATATACATATATATTCAACGTATTCTCATGTTTTGTTAAGTGGTACACTAAAGGTATATTAACTGCTAAATTAATTGGTATATTAAAGGTATATGCATTGAAGGTATCGTCAAGGCATACTAAATTTATTTTCAAGGTCAAGTAAAAGAGTATATCAAAGGTAGATTCTGATTCTAGGTATATCAAATGATATACTAAAGGTATAATAAAATGTATATTACAGGTATAGAGATGTATTAGATGGCATTTAAGAGTTACATCAAAGGTATATTAAAGCTATCCTAAAGGTATATTAGAGGCAAGAACATGACCAATAAAATTGTATTTATATTAAGGTATACTAAAGGTCATTAGATTGCATATAAAGCATTGAAGGTGTATTACATTGTATTTAAAAGACATATTAAAGGAATCTTGAAGATATTGTCAGTCAATAGAATGCTATATTAAAGATATATCGAAGCTATAGTAAAGGTATAGTCATTGTGTTTTAAATATGTTTGATCGCATTATTCTTACTCTGTTACCTCTACTTCATCAAAAAACAGAAAACCATGGTCATACAAGAAGTGAGAGGAAGGCTGAGCTTCATTAAAGCATGCATTGCATCCTTCCACACATGATAGTTTTCTTGCAAGAATATCAATATACAGTTTAGATCACTAGCATTGCTTTCTGCAAACACATCAGTTGTGCTATGCAGAGACCAAGAGCTGGTAAAACAATTGTTTGCTCAACATGCGGGAGGGTTCTGGGGGGTGAGCATATATAATGACCATATATATATATCACTCAATGTCACCATGACTTTTGGAAACGGTATAAAACGGTGCCATCACTCTATCGCACTGTACTTTATTTTGCCTGGAATCCGATATAGCCGGGTACTATCATTAGGCCAGTAGATAATTTTGAAAACCTTAATGAAGAAACATTTACAAAATCAGGAAGAATGCTGGGACTAGGCGAAAGTGATGAAGAAGACGTGGCACAGGTTATGGATGGTTTAATAGCTGCGCGTGTTGATTTTCCAAGGATATCACAATACCTTGCTCCGAGTCCTCTACACTCTACGTGCTCCTGTATTTAAAAAAAAAGTATATAGCACAGACTCAAGCCGAGCAAAGACGTGATATGGATCACTTTCAAACTTGATCAAATGAATGCAACAGAGCAGTGGCCCACGCACCTTGAACTTTTGGACACACTGCTCATGGCGTGGGGCGAGCAGTATCTTCGATCTGATTGATTTCTCGAAAATCTACAGAGCAGATGACAGGGCAAAAACTGATGTTCGTTCATACCAAGATCCTCATACCTGAACAGCTAACACTGACCTTTCACAGATCATGTCGAGCTGACTCAAAGGTTAGAGAACACACTAAGGCATGAACAAACGACCCCTTCCTCAAGGCTGAATCAAAAATTCTGCGTGCACACTCATCAATCTAAGAACTCTTCACGAGAACTCCGAAATGGTCAAAGGGTGAGCGAGCAGCAGCAAGCCTCACCCTGTACAATTCGTACAGGGCGGGCTGGGTTGGGAGATTTCAGCCTGGGAGTGATCAGATGAACTTGCGCCAAAATGGCACGAGAGTGCTGGCAGTTCCTCAGTGATCACCACGGGATGAACTTCACACAGTATAAAGAAAGAAATATGAACATATATAAAATAAATAAATCATATCAGAATCGGATTTCCACGATCAAGCTTGAACAAGCTCTTCAGAGTCACCTTCCTGTCCCAGACCTACCTAACCGATGACATGAAATCGACTCAAGCCGAGCAAAGACGTGATATGGATCACTTTCAAACTTGATCAAATGAATGCAACAGAGCAGTGGCCCACGCACCTTGAACTTTTGGACACACTGCTCATGGCGTGGGGCGAGCAGTATCTTCGATCTGATTGATTTCTCGAAAATCTACAGAGCAGATGACAGGGCAAAAACTGATGTTCGTTCATACCAAGATCCTCATACCTGAACAGCTAACACTGACCTTTCACAGATCATGTCGAGCTGACTCAAAGGTTAGAGAACACACTAAGGCATGAACAAACGACCCAGGCCCGAACATGCCTACTTCAAGGCCGACGGCCAGATCACTTGAACAGTCTGCCATCCTACCGCTTCGCCTAAATGGAGTTTGTTACGGGAAGGCCAATCAGCTGGGTTGGCGTCTGTCGAAACTCTATCGATGAACACTCTAACTCGCAGCTGAAAAGCTAGGTCCCAAAACACTGAAATGATATGGCAAAGATCTTCTTTGCTTGAGTATCCCTTGATCAACGCAGACTCCACGGCTTCCGAATCTATGAGCAACAAAATGTCTGCACCTCGGATCCGATCAGCGAAGGTTTCCATCGCCAAGACGGCAGCGATCATTTCAACCGGAACAATCTGAGTGCTGCGGGTGAGCCACCTGTTTTTCACTTCCTCAGGCACTACAGCAGTGAACTGCTGAGGCCTGCGGGAGCGCCGATCAAACAGGACTGCACCAACACGATCGGGCAGCTTCTCTGCAGAGCGAGGATCCGGGGTGAATCCATCCGTGAAGATCACCGCGTCTGAGCACTTTTCGCCGACCATGTCAATAGGCCGTGGGGGACCATGCTGAACAAGCTTCTTCCATTGCAATAGAGCCTCACGCAAGGGCGGGTCCAGCTTGAACTCTGAGCCGATCGGGAAGCGCAAGTATTGCCGTTCCGAGATCACTCTGAGAAATGCACGGCCTACCTTGCCCCATAGCTGCGAGGCACCAAACATGAGCTTGCCTTTCAGCTTCCCCGCAGAGCCCGGATCCAGTAAACCAGAGGCCAAGATCGCGTCGATTTCGCTAGAGAGCTCTTCTTTCCGATCGGCCTTGATCTCCAGTTGCATAAGCTCCAGGTTGTAAGTAACGCCCAGGATCGTGGGTGACCTGGATAGCTGCAGCTTCTTCTGATCAAACTGGGCGCCTAGCCAGAAGTGAACACTCTCAGCGATCTGCTTGGCGCTGGCCACTGTCGAGGCCGGCTCGAAGCCGTACTTATCATCATAGAAACTGAAAGCGAGCAAACCAAACAAAGAGACCAAGATCTCGTTGATCGCAGCAGACCTTCTATTGTAGTTATAGACAGCAGATACCAGACCAAAAGAATGACCCACCATGATGAAGAAATGAGGGGAGCCAACCTCAGGGTTCTTCAAGCAAATCACAGAAAACTTCCTCTGATCAGGTCTCACTGCCACTTGGCGATAAGCTTTTCGCTCGTCAAGGACCCAACCGCAGAGAGCTTCTTCCGGCTTCAACGAGCGTAGACGCCTCAGTGCAGCCACATTAGAGTCCGTTGACGGCAGCTGGAGCTTCTCAGAGATCTCCGTGACTTGGTTGATCATGTTGGTGGTGGCGCTGTCGCATCCACGAACCTTGTTCTTCTGGACTACCTCAAACCTTTGCGTAGGGATCCAGTCTTCGCAACCCAAGATCTTGGACACTTCACTTTCGGACGCAAACGGTCCCAAACACGAGCCTTCATTCGCATCCTCGAGCGATGCCTCCCAAATCTTGATCAAATTCTGTGTGACAGGTACTGCGTGGACACGGTTGACAATCTTCCGCCTCAGATCCCAGGCCCGCTTCAATGCCTCCTCCACGGGGACGACCTTCTGAGTCTTCTCGTAGGGAGGCCACCGGCCGGTCGGGGCGATCGGGCCCACGATCGGGAAGCCATGCAGAAGAAATTGAGGGAGCTCCATGTCCACTGAGCGCACCTCACGCAGCATTTCGGCATAGAGCTCAATGTGACACACTTTCCCCAACTGCGGCGCCTGATCTTCAGGCGCACCCAGAAGTAGACGGCGTAGAGCAGGATCAGGATGACGCCGGATCAGAGCCACTGAGCGGGGCAGCAGTGCCCGAGCCCGCTGTTCCCAAAATTGCAAAAGCTGGGCACGCTCGTGCAGGATAACAGATGCATCACGCTGCAGCCTGACCAAAGCTCGGCACGACTGATCATCCAGAGGCACGCTCTGAGTGAAAGGGTGTGGCACCCGGAGCGCAAATTCAATCGCCTGGCCCGGCTCGAGCTCAAACTCAAAGAGGGGCTTGGCGGCACCCCGCTTGAGCTGGTAGCCAGCCCACTGCGCCTTCAGAGCTGTGGCCTCTTGACGATGACCAAGCCAAGGCTTGCCTGACCCAAGGGGGCGCTTGCGATCGCTTGCCGGTGTGGTGAGCGCAAAGGACGGAGCGAAGTGCGCCAGCGCATCATTGTAGAGAGCCGCAATCACCTCTGCCATAGTAGCGCACAGAGCCCATGGATAAACTTGAGCAGCTTTGGTCCGAAAGACCCAGTAGCCAGTCTGGGGATCCCGCATCTTGCCCTTGAGCTTCACATGGCGATGACCGCCCGGGCAGCGCATCTGAACGTCGTCGAGCAGTTCAGAAGAGCATAGCAGCCGCGTCGGCTTCAGCGACAAGGCCCCAAAAGCACATTGATCAAAGTCCAGCGCAAGAGCACGAGTATCGGCCACTAGTTGCTCCATGATTGCAGTGACCCAAATCAAACTAAGGAGAAGGTTTTCGATCGAGAAATCCCCCCCAAAATGAAAAACAATGAAACAAGCTTCAGCCGACCTGGAAAGAAAAATGTTACCAAGCAGGACTAAACACTGGTTGTCCTGTGACAGATCCGGCAAACCCATAGGACGGAGCGCCGATCGCAACGGCGGAGGCCCACCGTCAAGCTTCCGAGCTGCCGTGAAGGTATTGCACGGTGTCCCACAATGCAAGAAGAAGACCAAACCTGAGGTGAGCACCTTCAGCACTGTAGACCACGTGATCATGTCAATGAGGTCCACTGGTTCTGGCACCAGGGGGGAGACCACGATGTCAACCGGCGGCAAAGTGGGAACGCCGCGCAGCTGAACAGCCTCAGACAGGCCCGCCGTGCCCGAGAAGAGCTCCAAAAAGTAGGGCCCCCGAGCATGCAACGCAGGAACTCCATCTAGGCCTTTGGACCAGGCAAAGGAGGGCTGATCAGACTCTGCTGCCTCACTCACGCTCTGACTCAAATCACTGGCAGAGCGGTCACTTGGGGCGGCCGGTCGATCGACCCAAGTGCCAGGTGGCCGAGCCTCTAAGGCCACCTGGCCTCCCTCGTCGCTTCAGTGGTTGCCATGCCAAGGGTGGTCCTTACCACACTCGACACAGGCATGCTTCTGTCTGCAGCTATCACCAAAACGACAACCGAGAGAGCAATTGTAGAAAGGGCAACGCTTCGGGCCCCCATATTTGAAAGCCGTGATCTTCTGCCACTCCTTGGCTGGCACACGCTCATCGCGTGCAGGCCGAGCGGCCCCAGAGGCGGATTCCTTGGGAGAACTCTTGCTGAGAACGTCCTTGGCCTTCTGGAGCTGAGCTTTCTGCCTGACCCTCCGAGCACGGTTCTTCTTGGCTTTCGGAGAAGTCTTCACTGCTGAACCCGAACGAGACCGCGAGCGCTTCTTGGCTGGAGTTGAAGGAGCCGGGAATTGACCCGCCTGTTTGAACTTGTCCAGCTCGGCACTGGAGCGAGCATCATTCCAGAGTTGCTTGTGGTTCGCGAGCACCTCTAGCAGAGCCGCAGAGAATGATCCAAAACTTTTGCGCTGGTCAGAACTGACTCGATGAACCTTCTTGCGGATGAGCGTGTCCACGGTGAGCAACAGGGCCAAGCCTCGATTTTCGTGGCGCCACTCCTCTAGCTCCGAGAGGTACTTGAGGGGGCCGGCCGCAAACGAGAACTCGCAAATGTTCAGATATTCTAAGGTGATGAAGAACGCGTGCAACTTGTCCATGACCTGTGATTCGGAGCTGGCAGAGGTGGGCTGATCGATCATCACCACCCGGAGCAAATCCTCGGCATTCTTCGTGAGGCCTGACTTTTGAGCGATCTGCTCGTTCCGGGTGCGGATCTCGCCGACCTCATAGAAATGCACAAAGCCATGCACCAAGTAGTCCCGTTGAACACGCTCGACGAACTTTCTGTGGGGTTCCCGGTGCAAGGGAAGAACCACATCTGGATGGCGAGCCACGAAAGTCTCCCTAAATTCAGCATGATCTTCGCCAGGGATTTCGGGGACTTTCGAGGGATCCTCCTCCATCTTGGCCCTTCGAGCCGCGAAATGGTCCTGCATGGTTGAGCAGGTCTTCCAAACTGCCGCGAGAGCGGTCAACGCGAGCTCTTGCGAGGGCGCATCAGGGCCAAAGGATGCCGGGTCTGGGATGATCGTCTTCAGAGTGGCTTTGACCCCCGCGATGTTGTCGCCCAGCATCGCAAAGGTCTCCACATTGAGCAATCCCGCGTCAGCCGCAGTCTTGCAGAGCTCATTGGAGACCCGTTGACGGCCCAGGATCTGTCTCAAGGGCAGATCTGGGGTCTTATCCGCCGTATACACGGTCCGATCGACCATTGTCAATGACTGCTAGGGAGCCAAGAATTTCTGGCCGTTCACAAAATCAAAGTTAAAGAACTTCTGCCACCAGGCTAAACTTAAACGAAAAAGAAAATAAGATGCAGCAAAGGCTCGGCTCAGGCATGACGAGAGCCCGGACTCACAGAGAAGCAGCGAGCGGCTACGTCAGGACGAGCTTTAGCACAATGTTTGCACAGAACTGCTGCATCTGGCAATGCTGACCCTACAGACGAGCATTCGTCCAAAGGAAGGCGACCACACGCTAACGCTGTGGGATCCCCAAGTTGAGAGCAGTGGTGCCTATAGTCATGAGCTTGCCTGGCGCCCGAAGACTTGACAAAGAACTGAACGTCCTCAAGCGCCGAAGGATCCTCTCCATCAAGGATGGCCCCCTCTGGTGGCTCGATTGGATGCTCATTCTCGATCATATCCTGGACGAGCTGTCTCACCATCTGAGCCGGAACACTGGTGCGATTACGAGTGTACTTAAGCACCAAAGGACCAGGGTTCTTCCAGTTCGCCTGGAGGCCTATCTCCTCGGTGGAGCGGCCGGCGTGGACCGCAGCGTCGAGCAACGTCACTCTGGCTGAATGAGCTGTCACTTCTGAGAGCCGGTCCAACACCGCATTGATCTCTTCTTGATTGTCGTTCATGAACTGGGTCACGGCGGTTTGGCCTAGCGTTCGCAGCCACTGCATTGATCGTTGGTAGGACGCAGGGGCATCACGAAACTCTTCACGAGAGTTAAGGTCCCGCATCCAGTAGTCTCGATCAGGGTTCTCAAGGAGGAGCAACTCCCAGCCTGTCTCGAGCCAAGCCGACTACGAACTTCGTGCCTCGCCTGCGCCTTTCCACTTTGGTCTGCCACGCGATCCCAAAAAGACCCTGATCAGTTAAAACAAGTTCTTGGGGTTTAACATGCAAAGCATCATCAAACCTCAGAGAAGCAAAAACCATGCAGAGCCACCACCATGCAAAGAGCCTCGCTGCATCCGGTTCATTCGGATCCACCACAAAGAGCTCCAAGCAAGCGACCGCTGCAATTGGGATGGGGACGGCCTCTTTCAAGGTCGTGTTCCTCTTCTTGACGATCTCTGCCTGAACAGCCAGCAGTGCGGGGTGAGCTAGATCAGGGCACTCGATCGCCAATTTGGAGGTCACCCATTTAACTGAAGTTCTAAAGGACGGCAAAACAGAAGGGCCACATTCCTTCTGATCCAATGCAAGAGCGTATTTCAAGATCTTGTCATGGGTCAATGGGAACATAGCCAACTGTTCACTGGCTAGCCAATCTTCAAACCTTTCCCAGGCTGAAATATGGGCAGCCATCGTCCGGGGAGCCCCTGATGACAACACAAGCTGTCTGAGCCGTGCCGTTTCAGCTGCTGACAACCCTTCACTATTGGTGGTGTCGATCAACAGTTTGGAGAACTCCCCTGCACGTTTCCCTATGTCCTCGAGCTTGGCTGCCCATTTGCGCCTGGCCGCATTCTCTTGATCCAGAAGCGGAGTTGAAGTCACCTCCTCCTCCGGCTTCTTCAAGATCTTCCTAGGCGGTTGGGCAGGCTTCTGAGCAAGAGCACGGATCGCAAGAGAGCGTCTGGCTTTGGCAGCTTCAGAACTCAAAGTAACTGATAAAGGGTCACACATACCAAAACCTAGCTGTTGGGCAGTTGAAGCAAAGAAGGCTTTCTCGATCGACGAGGCCAGGCTCCAATACTGCTCAAGCATAAAACTGCTCTCCAGTAAAACATCCCTGATGCCTTCATCCAGTGTGGGAGCCCACTCATGGACCTTGACAACGAACTCCGACGCCACACGCACCTCCATGGCCGAGATGAGTGCCAAGTTGGCGAACGGCGAGGCGAGCACGGCCTGGGCGAAAGCATCAGAGAAAACAGGGAGGCATAAGATCTTGGATGCCCATCTCTCGTTCGATTGAGCCATCTTGCAACTGTTCATGAACATGACATTATATGAACAAATAAGACAAAAGCAACATGAAACCCAGCACCAAGGAACACCACTCTCCTAAAAATGAGTGTACCAACCTGGGTGAGGTCATGGGCAAATGCCTGAACAAATAACGTGCATGTAGCATGAACCCCCAATGAACATCAATTGACGCGAAATTCAGCAATTATGTTAACCTCTTCACGAGGCGGCTCTTCACGAGCACAAGGACATGAACATGTAATGAATGTGAGCATGTCACGGATTACAGATCAAACCGAGCGAGATGACTGATCAGGGATAAACCTAAACTAATCAGTCGCTCTCACTGACAGTCTGATCTGAGTTCCCACAACAACACTGCTGAGGGGCGTGCCTGAGCAGGGCAACGTTGCCCAAGGACGATCGTCCCATCACAAAAAGAAAAATGGGGGAGATGTGAACACTCGGGCATCCCTCAGCAAAAGTGGAAACTCAGCAAAGCAGTAAAATAAAACACAAGATCAAATTACAAACATCACTTGTCCAAAAACTTTCCCTCTGAAATGCTGCAACAACTTTTCACAAGCTGCGCAGTTTGGCGATCATGCCAATCTGAAGGAAAGCATCTCAAAAGATGGATTACGGAGCCGTCTGCCTCAGCAATCTGTGACCTCTTCCACAACAGGTGGGGGTCCATAGCTGACTGGCTGACCAGGCTGCGCAGTGCTGGATCCAGCCACATAGCCGCTTGTGGCCTGGCTGACACGATCCAAAAAGAACTGCGGAGTGACCGCTGCTGCTGACATCTGTTCCCCTTGGCGAGCTTCCAAAGGTCTGCGATGAACATGCACGGCGCCGCCCTGCAGATTGGTGGCTGTCGGAGCTTCTCCTGGGGCCGTCAAAGCCACCTCAGAAGGCACATTTGGAGCCACAGTCAATGATGGCGCCATAGGCCCTGCGAGAGCTCGCAAACTTCCAGAGACCGAAGAAGCTGGCACCACCGATGGACCACCTGTGACTGGCGGCAAAACGACCGTCTTCTGCTCGAGCTCTACATTGTGAGCTTGTATGGCCAGAGCTTCCCGAGGCACGATCGCCTTCTCCGCCTTGAACAAAGGGGACTCGCAGGTGAAGTGCAGGTTGGAGGCATGAGACTCCACCGCAACTGCCCCCACTCTGGGTCCCGTCTCTTCCACAGAGCCAGCTTCGATCGATGCCGTCCAATGGGCGTGGATCCCAGCCAGCTGTGAGAGCTGCATAGTCTGATCTGGACCCTCGATCCTGGCATGGTGGTCACGGCACCAATGAGCGTTCTTCACGAGCGTCGGGCCTGACACACGCGAAACGACCAGCCAGGTCGATGGTACCACCACCTGGGAGCACGACACGTCAACCTTGTCTCCAGATGACCTGAAGCGAAACTCCAGACGATCGGCATCCATCCCGATCGAGTCCGACGATGAGATTGCAGTCACTCTCATCTCAAAGTGACACAGTGGGAAATCAAGAGCAACCACTGTGCCTCCATCACTGCATGCATAGAGCCGCCCTCCAACCTCGAACGAGGTAGCAATGACTCTCCACCCTTGGAACACCGTGACCGCGACCGAAGGGATGAAGAGCATCTCATCCAACCGCGGGATCACCGAGTCGTTGATGTAGTTCAACTGGACCGTCATATCCTGGTCCGATCGGTAACCACGCAGTTCAAGGTGGAGCAGCAACTCACCTTCCACTTTGACCTTGACGTCGACCCATGTGGATCCATCATCTGTCATCATAGGCCATCTGAACGGTTGGAAGGCTGGGTGCGAGAGCACTTGCCCCGTAGGATAGTCCCACTTCGCGCAAGGAACTGTCCCATACGAGGTCATTGAGCCGACCAACACAAACTTGAACCCATCCAGAGTGCGGACATAGAACAGGTTGAAGTGATAGCCCGTGTTTGGAGATCTCACTAACTGTCGATCGGACAGCACATTGATGCCACTCTGAGCATTCAGCAAGATCTCGTCCAGAAGCCAACCTTGGTAAGGAGACTGGATCCGCTTGTCTCTGCTGTCAATGACAAGCACCGATCGTTCATGCTCCTTTGCCCCCAGTTGTTGAACGTAAGGGGGCAACTGAAAATTCTGAGGGTTGGCCGCCGGCATCTGGCCCCAGCGAATGCCGCGATGCCCTTTCTTCCGAGCCTTGGCATTCTGCGAGGCGATCTTCGCAGCCTGTTTTTGAGCACTACCCAGGAGCTGCTTTGCTGCTTGAACAGCTGGAGCCGCTTGTGGTGGAGCCGTCTTTGGCAGATCTGCATCCCATCCATCATGAGGAGGCATATCAGGTTCAGACTCCACCTCCTCTTGGCCAGCTGGAGCGCTCTCTGGGATCACCTTCTTCTCAAAGCCTTTGGGCGGCGGCTTTGGAGCAGGGTACTGGATCCTTGCAGGCTGAGCTCCCGCTTCTTGAACAACACTCCACGATACTGCTGAGCCTGTCGCACTTGCAGAGTCATCAGGACCGATCCAATCTGCAGCACGAGAGGATGCCATGGTTTGCTGGCGAAACTGAGCAGATGGGAATGTCGATCGAGCAGGGGGAAAATTTGACATTAGATCAACTCCCAGGCCCTTATGCACAAACACCGAGAGGCACAAGAAAAAGATTTCAGCCTGGGAGTGATCAGATGAACTTGCGCCAAAATGGCACGAGAGTGCTGGCAGTTCCTCAGTGATCACCACGGGATGAACTTCACACAGTATAAAGATATAAAGAAATATGAACATATATAAAATAAATAAATCATATCAGAATCGGATTTCCACGATCAAGCTTGAACAAGCTCTTCAGAGTCACCTTCCTGTCCCAGACCTACCTAACCGATGACATGAAATCAGAACACTTTGACTATTTGAAAGAAGTAGCAAAACTTAAGGGGTTCAAGATAGTATCTTCCAGTGGGTTTACAAAGGTCTGCTTACCATGCACAAGAAGACTTTGAAAGACTGACTAACCCTTCCTTCCAGCGATGCCGTTGGATCCGTTGGTGAGATTGCCCAGATCAAATTGTTAATGTCAGTGTTTTGAGAAGATGCAATGCACGTTCAATATGGCATTCAATATCCAGCTTTCATATGGACAAGCAACATGCATGAGGACCAGCACCTGGAAAGGTATTCTTGATGCTAGATCCTAGCTGAAATTCGGTTGTATAAACACCCTGTTGCCGAAATATCATGAGCGACTTGCAGACACAGCGGACAAGTAGATGATGTAGATGATGTAGATGGGTGGTATTGCCGACTCATAAAAAGACGGTTCAGATCCTCAATGAATCTTGATATCCCATGATATTCCAACATATAAAACCAAAGCAGACCCCAAAGCTAAGTGATATCCCCTTAGCCTTGCTGGTTAACAGCGGCTAAGATAGAGTTGAATCAAAAGACCTCGTGACAAATTTGAGGCGCTGGAAATGTACGGTGCATCTCAAATACCGTACAAAGATCTAGTCTTGGAAGGCTCTTATGGTCACATGAACACAGAGAGTACTCGCCCACACATATCTACACAAACAATCGGTTCCCAGCATCGACTTTTCCGACATGCTCACTTCTCACAAACTTGGCCTTTCAGTTCTCCCTCCCAACAAGGGGTCCACTGTCACCACTTCCATGGCTGGGTTTCCGCTGCAGATGTCTTTTCTCCGCATGGGAGGTGAGTTTCTGCTTGATCCTATCAAGGTTCATGCCACAAGGCATCACAAAATCATCAGCACAGGATGCAAAAGAGAGGTAATGTGGTACGCCAAACCATCACGCCGATTGTTCGAAGCTTTGTAACCACATCCACTTGCGTTGTCAAAACTCATGGGTGTCTGAAAACCGATGGTACGCCTGCAAACAGCCACCTTAGATAAATAAAATGTCTATTCAGGAACAATAATGTCAAATATTTTAGATGCAGACGCTATCAGACGCGATGTCCTGATGAAATCCGGCCAGCTTTGACATGGCATCACCTCGGATGGGTGAAACATGTTGAAACATCCATTTTAATCCCTTGTTGATCTTGGTTGTTGTTGTTTTCCTTGGACAACAGCACGACAAGTGTGACAAATTGAGGAGCCAATTGTCGGTCTTCCGAAACTTCGCTGCCAAGAAGCAACTTTCTGCCTCTCTTCTTTTGGGTCTTCCTCGCAGAAAAGCAGAAAAACTTTGAGATTTGCCAATTGCGGGACGGTGGAGATTGGGTTCACCAGGACTGTTCTTTCTCTAAGTTTCCAACCACCACCAGGTCATAGTGGATCTTGATGAATCCCCTTCTTTGCAGCTGCATCATCTCCAGAAACAGGTCGTCGTGTTCATGAAATCTGGAAACCTGGGCTCAGTGAAGAACTTCCGACGTGCAGGAAAAAAAAAGGCATATGTTTGCCAACACAGATATGACAACAAATTTCTGTGTAGACTTGTTGCTGATTTGATTCCAATTCAGGCATGAATTTGACTGCTGCTAAGAGCCGCACAGGGCGGTAGGCAACGGTGAAACCTCTATACGACCTCTCAATGACGCGGGTAAGACACATTCAAATAATTTCAAAGATTCAGCACAGACTCATGCACACAAGTTGAGAAAAGCTTCTCCAATCAGGCATTTAATTGAGTGGCAACTTAAAAGTTGAGCACAAAATACCGGCTGTTCGCAGTTGTCCGTGCCAGCTGAGGCACTGACTTCTTAAAGTTGTGAGCCGCATCTTTTGCCAAGGACCGGCCAGCCTTTCATTTCAAAATGTGTCCGACATCTTCCCACTGGTTGATGGAAAAAAGATTCATTCCTAACGCACAGCCAATCTCACCGGGTAAAACAAAATTATTGCAAACAAAATGATGAGCAAGATGAGCAAGATGGCATACCCATCAATTGAAGCAAAATGGCATTCTTCTACCCATATTTGGGATGAATTTCCACCATCAACAGCCCATGTACCAAGTCTCACCTAGAAACCCCACTAGGATAGCAAACCCAATAAGGCGCCATCGCCTCAGTGACTTTGGCAGAGATGGCGCAATGCTTCCAGAACTCCTGGCAGGGATGTTCTTGTTGATTTTTATGGAGTGTGTATCATTCATGTATATAATACTATGTATACACATAATACTATATAATACTATATATATGGTACTATATATATAATACTATATATATATAATACTATATATATTATAATACTATATATATAATACTATATATATAATACTATATATAATACTATATAGAATACTATATATATAATACTATATATAATACTATATAGAATACTATATATATAATACTATATATAATACTATATATATACATAATACTACTGTATATATATAATACTCTATATATATATAAGAATATATATATATATATATGGACTATATATATAATACTATATATAATACTCTATATATATACATATATATATACATACTATATATTGGAATATATATATATACATATATTGGAATATATATATATACATATATAATTATATATATATATACTATATATTGGAATATATATATATACATATATATATATAATGTAAAAAAAAAAGAACATGATTCGAAATGATGCGTATGACTGGCTTGGAACGATCTACCGCTAGACTTTGGTGTCAGTACGGTGGTAAGGCCTGATTTTTTTCTGTTGCTCCATGCCTTTCTTGGCCGAAGAAACATCACGCAGAGCTTTGGGGCTGCGTGTCTTGCAGAGCCCAAGAGAACATCCGTCCTTTCGCACATAGCCACGAACCCTTGGTTCTGCCGCAATCAGGCGCATCAGGAAGGTGCTCACCTGTGTGCAGCCAAGCCCATCAGAACTGCGCTTTGGCAGCGTAAGCGTCATATTTAGAGCCATTCGAATCACGTTTGTTTTTATGCACCAGACGTTAGATGATCTAAATTGAGGCCCAGACTCCATCTCTCACTGCCTCTCAATGTTTCCAAGGGACTTTGTAGTTTTGCTTTGTGCAGACTGCATATTCCACAAGGACCAAGCAATCTTGTAAGCATGCAGAATTCCAGCCTCCCAGGTTGGAAAGTTCTGGTCGATGTGTTTGATGCAAACGTCCTTGCAAGATTCCTGCCCAACAGCAAGCAACGCATCACTCTTGCCTGTCATTTCCTGGCATGCCAAGGTCTTTGCAGGGCCATGTTTCGAATGTGAAGGCACCACAGTCGTCCATGTCGTGATTCTGGGCATCCCTCCTGCTCTTCTCTTGGACCAAATAATTGCCTTGGCACACATGCCGCGCTTATCAGGGCACGCTACCTCTCCCTGTTCACCCAAGCAACGTGGGTAAATGGTTCTTACCATGTAGTCTTTGCTTGTCACATAGCTATTCACAGCTTCAATCCTCAAACATCATCACAATCGCCAATGAAATCAGCATGCAGGTACTTCTCATTCGATTTCATTCTATTTCACATGAGTTTGCCCAAAAGGTGGGGCCCCCAAAAACTGCCATTTCAATCAGGTTGTTTGGTTGCCCAAACCATTGGAATTCACGGCACCCCAACATACGCGATCCGTGCTGATTTAGCTGCGCCCCAAGTCTGGGTCTTCCGACTTGCCATGCGCCACATTCGCTCCCAACTCAGCCGGCGTGATGCCAAAGGGTTGAAGACTTAGGGCATCAAGAGACCTCGGTGAACGGACCCGGTAGATCTGTAGCAGTCCCCAACTAGAAATGGGATTTGTTTTTTAACCAGCGGCTCAAACAACATGGCAATCCGTTTCTATCTAAAAAAGCAAAATGGGCAGGGGGGTTGCTTTGAGGGTGGAAATTGATTTGGCCGAAAGCGGCCACTCGCGGCCACTTGCGGCCACTCGCTCGGATTTGTCTGGAGCGGCCACTTGCGGCCACTTGCGGCCACTTGGGAGGAGCGGCCACTTGCGGCCACTTGCGGCCACTTGGGAGGAGCGGCCACTCGCGGCCACTTGCGGCCACTCGAGTGGCTGCGAGTGGCTGCGAATGGCCGCAGGGGTTGACCGCAATTGGCTGCAAGAGGCCGTTGTCGGTGAAGCGGCCACTTGCGGCCACTTGCGGCCACTCGAGTGGCTGCGAGTGGCTGCGAGTGGCTGCGAATGGCCGCAGGGGTTGGCTGCACTTGGCTGCAAGACCGTTGTCGGTGAAGCGGCCACTTGCGGCCACTCGAGTGGCTGCAAGTGGCTGCGAGTGGCTGCGAATGGCCACAGGGGTTGGCTGCACTTGGCTGCAAGAGGCTGTTGTCGGTGAAGTGGCCACTTGCGGCCACTTGCTGCCACTCAAGTAGCTGCGAGTGTCTGCGAGTGGCTGCGAATGGCCGCAGGGGTTGGCTGCAATTGGCTGCAAGAGGCCGTTGTCGGTGAAGCGGCCACTTGCGGCCACTCGAGTGGCTGCAAGTGGCTGCGAGTGGCTGCGAATGGCCACAGGGGTATGAGCGGCCAGTGGCCGCAGGTGGCCGT